CACGGCGGAGGAGAATCATAGATACGACACCTGGTTGTGCTGCAGACACATGATCTATCTAGTTGATGCATCCATCTACTTACTCTTGGCCCAAGGTGACCAGGCAAGGTGCAGTGTAGGCCCCTTCCCTCCAATCCAAGGCATGGCAGCAGGAAGCATTCTCCACAACAGCTTACTCAGCCTTAGGAAACACAGATCATCAGTACCTGTGCCACGTAATGCCATAGCAATGTGAGCAATAATGCCCCAGGTAGTTATGGGATGGACTTAGTTGAGCCCAGTAGGTACCCATATTAACACCTTTAATATGCTTTATTTTCATTACACTTGTCATTCTTAGAATATAGTAACAAAGGAACTTCAGCACTGGGAAGTATTAGATAATGCGGCTGTAGTTGTTCCTCAAATGGAAGTAATGCCCTTAACATGACACTTCATTAGCTTCTCAAGAAATAATCTTGATGTCATTACTCAGCATTCATCTAGTCTTTCCTCAGGCAAAACTAGCTGCAAAGTCAAATCATAGCAGGAATATTGTATGAGTAAGACTTAAGTAAGGGCTGCAAAGTTTAGCCTGTTATCTGTAAATTACAGAGGTGCCTTTCCTGATTTACTTTCTTTAATCACATTTGCAGAAACCAGTCATTTTTTCTGGAAGCCAGTTCAGTGTGGCAGGAGAGGCATACTTACACTCTTGTGAGGTACGTATTGTTTTAGACCTCAGTCTAAAACCTAAATATAACATCAAAGAATTAAAAATCATAGGTACAGATGACACAGAATTACTAGCATCAGGAACATATCTGAAAATACTCTGTTACACCAACCAGAATGAGAAGGTAAAGCCAAAAAGGAAATGATACTCCAAGGAAGTAGCTTGTTTTAAATAAAAAGAAGGTTAAAAATAGCCCAAAGGCTTCATTATGGCATAATCAACCATGAAAGAGTGAAAGGAATGGTTTCGCCTCATCCTTTGAAGATGGAATAAGAAAGAAATGGGTATACAATATTTAACCCTTGAGCCCCTCCCACCACTGATGCTATGCTTGAATCCTGATGACCACACAGCTGTAAGGTTCCTTTAGAAATCATCATCTCTCCTTCTAATTTGACCAATTTCAGTTGTCTTTAGTAGCAAACCCTCTTTACCATTTCATTTCCCAAAGCCTGATTACATGACCTAGTCTTTCCTACATCATGTCTTTACACATTTGCAGTCAATCCAAGGAGAACAGCTGTTATTGACAACATCTAAAAATCAACCAAAGCATCCTCAACTCGTGAGGACACTTACCAAAATAAACTGCCAGCCAGACAACATAGTGAAGAGATTCACCACGACCTTCCCTGGTACAGGGGGAACTGTGAATGTGCCTTTTTCCCTTGTATGCCCAGAGTATACAGCCTACTTGACTATATCAAAAAGGTTCAGAGGCCTTTTATTACAAAATAAAATCAAAAAAGTTACATTGGAATTATTAAGTTAAAGCTGCACTGTGATAACTTGAAGGTATTTGGAAGAACGGGTTTTATTGCAGTTGAGTTTGCCAGATACTTTTTTTGCCCTGAAGAAATTAATGTACCAGAGGGAAAGATATGGCACTTATTTAGCAGATATCCCTGCATCCATACAGCAAGTTGGCTTTCCAGAACTGGTTCGTAATTGCTTGCGTGTTGAGTCACTTCCTCCTCCCCACTCTATAAGCATCGCACGTCAACTGATCTTTGTCACGAACCCACGGGCGAGTGACACTTGCCCATGACACTGTCATGCTTGATTAGACAGGATTGGGCCTGTTTAATCCGGAGAAAAGAGGACTGAGAGGAGATCTTATTTAATGCATATAAATATCCCCAAGGCAGGTGCCAAGAGGACGGTGCCAGACTCTTTTTGGTGGTGCCCAGCGACAGGACGGGGAGCAGCGGCCACGAACTAAAGCACGGTTAGCCGCACCCCAACATGAGGAAGAACCTCACGTTGAGGGTGGCCGAGCCCTGGGACCGGCTGCCCAGGGAGGCCGTGGGCTCTCCTGTGGAGAGATCCCAGCGGGATTGCACAGGAGGCTCCAAGAGCCGCGTTCCAAGCCCAAGCCCCAGCGGGCGAGCGCGGCCCGGGCAGCGCCGCGGCCGGGGCTGGCCGGGCGCTCGGGGCGTGCCCGGAAGCGGAGGCGGAAGCGGAAGCGGCGCTCGGGGCGGAAGCGGCGGCGGAGGCCGCGGTTCGGGCTCCGCGGGCGGCGGGGCGGCGGCGCTGCGCCACCGGCAGCCGGGCCCGCTCCCGCGCCACTCTCCTCCCGCTCCCTGCCCTCCCCTGCCGCTCCGCCATGGCGGCCAACACCGGCAACCTGCAGGTACAGCGGCGCCGGCCCTGCCCGCGCGGGGCGGGCCCGGCCGGCGGCGGCGGCGGGGGGCGGCGCCGGGAAGGAGCGGGGCCCGGGGTTCCCGGGCCGGGAGTGTTCCGGGGCGCAGGGAGCGCGGACGCCTCTGCTCAGCGGGCCGCGGGCACCGCGGTGGGGGGACTGGGCTCGGGGGGCAGAGCCCACGGTGTCAGCCCTCCTCGTCCCGGGGAGGGCGTCCCAGCCCCGCGGGACACGGGCAGCGAGGCCTGGTGCTCGCCCGGGAAGCGCTGTTGCCTCTTGTGCTCGGGACGCGTGGCTTGGCTTGTGTTGCCGTAAGGCTCCTGGTGGCTGTAGGAAGCCCTTGCCTGCTCTGCTGTTCCGCTTGTGTGAGCCCTCGGCTGCGGGGGTGCGATCGGTGCTGAGGCTGGCCGGCGAAACAGACCCCGAAGTGAAATAACTGCGTTCCAAAGAGCCCCTTTTTCTCTTCGGCTGTTTGAACCGTGATCGTTTCTGTATGCGGTGTTTACACTGGCAGTGTGATGTTTGCATTGGCAAAGCTGGAGGAGATGTTACAGGGTTTATAATAAGCAGAAGAATGACACCTGTTTAAACTGACATTCTTTCCTTGGGGGATGTTCATCAAACTATAAGCCTATGGCCGATAAACGTAGTTTGTGCCTTAGTCATAGTTAGAGCTGGTCATCTATGCCCTAGTTCATACAGCTTTCTAATAATGATTTTCTGTTTGATAGCAGTGATGTTCTTCACAGTAACAGGCTAAGGTGCAGCTGATGTAATGAAGTATTAGAGCTGAGAATCTAATAGCCAGGTAATAGTCTTTGGCTGTTTACAAAAAGAGAGTGTAGCAAAACCAGGCAGTACATGATGCAGACTTTTGCCGATTTCAGAGCAACAGGTTTGTGACATGTCCTGTTTTCTCACCGTTCTGTTTTAGCACGCGATCTTTGACATTTATTCTTTGGAATTAATGTCACCTGTCTTTCTTATACTGAATCCAGGAATTACTGGGCTGTCCCATAGTAATTAAAGTCGCTAATGAGACTTAAGAACTTTAATATGAAAATAACATTTTGGGGGGTTAATTTTTGCTCTGTTGCTAGATTTGAATGGTGCACAGATATGCGTAAGGGAGTCAGCATAAAATGGGCAGCAAGGAGGTAGCTGTCCATTCATACCTGGGAAACTGCTCTTGAGCTCCCAGCCTCTCCAAGAAGGAAAGACTTAGCTTCTGTTCCAAAGAAACAGATGTTAAAGTGCTTCAGCACTTGCCACAACAGAGCCATAGTCTGTTTAATTGGTTCATTGCTTTTAAATACCTTTAATGTCAAGTAGATCTGTTGAGATGATCTTTGCTTCCAAGACGTCAACACAAAGCAATAGAATGCAAGATTTTGCTGTTTTTTTCATGGCTATTGTTTACTAGCTTTGTTCTGCCTGAAACAGCAGAGTGTAGGTAGTGGCAAGAATATCTGTACTGGAATGTCTAATGGAAACTCCTTGCTGCAGCTCAAACTCTCAACATTGCTCCCTGGCGTTACATAATCATCCTGAGCAATGCTTAGGAAAGGGAACCACATGGGAAAAAATAGATGAGGGATTATAGACTATTTAGTTGGTGTTGGTTAACTGGCTGACTGCTTATTTTCAACTTACATGAGCCAGTGGTCAAAATGACAGTTTTAATTGTCTGGAAATGGTATGGCCATTCCAAGGAGTAAAGTGTAATAAAAAGTAATAAGCACTTAGGAGTGAGCAACGGAATAGTGGTGATACAATAAATCCACAAGGCAGTGTGTGCTTAGATCTCAGTCAGATTTACTTGAAAATAACTGAACAAATAAAGTAAAAATCCATTCATAGTTTCTCATAGAACTCTTTGATGCTTGAGATTTGGGTATGTTCTCTGTCTGTTTTGAGCTTTTTTTTCTCCTCTCCCACTGGAGTGATAATTAGAATTTCTCACTAAGATATCAAGAGTCTGAATCCTCCTGGAGAAGCCAAGCGACTGGTCTTTGAAGATGTCTCCCAGCATAATGTTTGAAGAGTGATAGTGCTAGTTTCAGTGGTTGTAATCAGCTACTTCCTGTATTGACTTTGCTGTTTACAGGGTTTACTGATGTCATCAGTCATAGGATCATAGAATTGTTTAGGCTGGAAAAGATTTGAGTCCAGCCATTAACCCAGCGCTGTCAAGTGCACCCCTGAACCATGCCTTAAAACAGCATATCTGTATCATAGTTCAAAGTTTCTATGTCTGTAATAAAAAAACCCCAAGCCTTACAATGGATTTCCAGATTTTTTCATAATAAGTGCAAGAGTTTGGCAAGACAGACTGCATAGTAGTAGTAGTAGTTCCAGCTTAGTACACAGAAACTTCTTCTCACGTGTGCTTTTTTGTGTGCTAGTAAATTTCAGCAGGTTGTAAATCATGCTGTTCATAAAAGGATGGAAATATTGTGTTTTGTACAAAACACTACCTATGACAATCAATTGCCTTCAACTCTGAGGGGATAAATGTTGAGGAGCAGAAAAACTGGCCATCAAATGACAGTAACAGCTTAAATGGTCTCTGATCATGGAAAATGCTCTTGTACAGCAATTAATTATTTGTTTGTGTTACAGAAAGCAATAGACCTTGCTAGCAAGGCAGCACAAGAAGATAAAGCAGGAAACTATGAGGAAGCCTTCCGCTTGTACCAACATGCCGTGCAGTATTTTATCCATGTTGTTAAATGTAAGTGTGATGTGTTGGATGATTAAGTAAAGTTTAGTCGTCAGATTGCACAAGAGTATTCTCTTATGTTGACATCAGTATTTAAATTTTTGCTCTCGTCAACAGTTGATACTTGCTAATTGTAGTTTGACTGAGGTCATATATTTTTCAGCTTTTACCTTTACTGTGTTGTGTGCTTGCTCCGTTCTTGTAAGAAATTAGATTATTTTTTACTTGTGTTTTGTTTTAGGTTTTTTTAAGACAGGAGGCAGGTGTTTGCTGTCTCTCCTCTGGACTTTTGTAGCAGTGTTTCAAGCTGGCCACTGCACGAGGAAATATGACAATAAGTACAGGGATCCCTGTATTTCTGTTGTGCTGAAAACCATGTTACACATGAAGTCTTTGCTGTATCTGCAGAGTGCTTTTTGCTCCTTTAATTCATGCTGCTTGCCCTTCTAAAGTCTCTCTGCTGACATTTTTTGCTCCTTAATGTCATAGTCTTGCTGTTTATCTTGGCCAAGAAAATGTATGAGATGGACTTGTATGTAACAATTTTTCTTCAGTTTCCATCTTCTCATTACTTTATGCCTTTTCCCACTGCTGTGTACCTTTTGTGCCACATTCAGTGTTTGTATGCAAGGAGTGGGCTTTCTTAATGTGGGTACAGCCCTAGTGTAAGTGGGCTAGGGTTGCTTGCCTGACAAAAGTACACTTACAGATCTTCATTATTTGAAAAAAATAGTTTTCTTTATAGTCCTTTATTATTAGGATAATCTGTGTTTATCACTTCCTGTCCATTTGAATCTCAGAGACTTTCTCAGAATATCGCTTTATATGCTTTTAACAAAACTGATGTACTTTTGGAAACTTAGCTCAAAAACCTGACATGTTAAATTTCGATTGTTGGTTTGAAATACTGTAATAGTGATTATGAGAACAGCGTGGCTGTTGAAACACACTTAATTCTTTCAGATGTTTTATGTAATGTTTCTTTATCTTTTAAAATTAGCAGGCTATGGAAGAATCAAGTATGGTTCTAAATAAAAATTGCCTAGCACAAGCAGCTTCTTGATCAGCTATTTTAGAAAAGCAGTTATTAAGGCAATGTCTAGCAGCTTGAAAGGTTGACAGAAAAGCTTCCACTGCTGATGTCCTTAATCTTTTACAGTCAAATTTTAAGCCAAGGCAATGTTCAGGTGAATATTTGATTTCTGTTACATGATGACATTCTTCTGGTCAGTTCATTCCAAGGTATAATGGAAAAACAAGTAGTTGAGATGTTTGGTTATGTTGTGAGCCCTGAGAGAGGTGTATTGATAAGAGATAAAGAAGACAGATCTTTAGTCTTGTTTTTTGATCGATGCACTTGTGTTTTGCTGTTAACAAAGAATTGTTTATCTTCAAACTCTTAGATGAAGCACAGGGTGATAAAGCAAAACAAAGCATTAGAGCAAAATGTACTGAATACTTGGACCGAGCAGAAAAGCTGAAAGAATATCTGAAAAAGAGAGAAAAAACTGCACCAAAACCAGTTAAAGAGTCTGGTCCTGCTGAAGGAAAAGGGTATGTTTTTGGAGAAGGTAAAGCAAAATAATTGCTGAACTCAGTTTATTCCAAACTTCAGCTATTCAAAGATAATTTTAACTTGTGTTTCTGAAATGCTTCAGATGACTACTAATGCTGAAGTACAGTGTACTAATAAAAATAATTTGAATTACAATCACAAGCATTTCTGTGCTTGTTTACTGAAATGTGAACATTTGCCTGGGAAGTTCACTGAAGAATGAAAGCTGTTCAGACGAACAGCTGAATCCAATGATTTTTGGATTTAATGGCAAGGAGACTGATGACCTTTAAAGGCTTTCTGCATTTAAATACTTAGTAACTAGAAAATTATTTCAGACTGGTAATTACTGGGGTTACTGAGTATGATCTGTCTCATACTTGATAAGAGATGAAAAGCCCTATGTAAAGTTGTGTAAGGTGGACTGAATCCTCCCAGTGTTTGGTCTCTCCACTGCTTCACTTCTCATAGATTTGTTTCTCGCTTTACATAGCAGAGCGTTGAACAAGCAGAGCCACCCAAACAAGCCCAGCCTCTTTTGCATTTGCTACTCCCTTTATGGGGATAGGAGAGAGGAAGGATTCAGGATTATACCTTCTGGTGGGACTGCCCTTTATAGGAGTCCTGAACAGCTAAAGTTGCTCAGTTGTCTCTTAAAACTTCACCTGATTTTCAGTCTTTTTCAGTGTCTGCTCATCTTATCAGCCTTGTTTTTTGAGCTGTACCATCTTCTGCTTATTTATAATAGAAAGAAATGGTAATACCATGAAAGCTACATGTATTTTCATTACCTCCACTCCAAGTGTTCCCTCTCTAGTCTCTTTTCCTTTAACTTCCCGTTTCCTTTGTTCTGATGAGAGTTTCATAGTACTAGATGGAACTAGACAAATTGCATGTCCAGATAGAGAAGTGCCTATGTCTACAAACAAACCATTCCAGCACCTCTGTGTTGCTGGACATAGGGGCTGTGTTTCCTAAAAGCTGGCTCAAAGCACATAGAAGTGTGTTAAGAGGGCTCAGACCCATAAGAGGAAGTAGAAATGGCAAAGGAGGCTGAATTTGAAAAGAAAAAAATCACAGAAAGTGTACTTCTGCTTTTCTACAATCATATAAACCTGTAGAGGGTCTGAAAGCATCTCAGTATTTCTTTCATTCCTCAGCCTGATGGGTTTTCTGCTTTTTGCATTCTGATTTTTATGCTAAGACAGAAGTCTGTCTTACTGTATTTCAACATTTTGTTTCCTAATCAGGAATGACAGTGATGGGGAAGGAGAATCAGAGGACCCTGAAAAAAAGAAGCTACAGAATCAACTTCAAGGTAATTTAAAGCATCTTTTTTTTATACAGGGATTACTTCAGTCAAGCAAGTTCCTATATTTTTACCGTCTAATTTTTATGGATAACTTAATGTCTGTAAGTGGCTCAGCTAGTATGTAATCTTCATGTGCAAAAGCATAGTCTTTATGAAAGTAAAAGGACTTGTGTGCCATGAACTTACACAGTGACTATATTTAAATGTATCTCCTGCACCCTACGCTTCAAGTTAAAATTGTATCACCTATCAGGCTAGCATTTTCCAACAGAAATTGCAAAATCCCAGGTAGCTATTGGCTAAACATCTAGTATATTTTACTCTGAAGTGCAGTAGCATGTTTCCTAGAGGCTAAGGAAATGATGATACAAACATTTAGTGTAAGCAGGACTGTTTTCACAAAAAGACTGGTATTCATGTTTAGGAGTAAGAAACATAGATTCTTGCCCATTTATAATAACAGGCAGCATTTTCTTACATGGAGTGATGATGCCGTCCCAGTTCAGTAGCATAGTTCGGGTTTTTGCACTCAAATACAGAACACAGTCAGTGAAGCAATGTATAGCAGCTTCCAACAGTTTGGTGTGCAGTAAAAAGGGAGCTTTTTGGTATTTATTTCCTTTTAATAATGAACTGTTCAGAACTTCCCTACTAGAAGGTGCTTATGGATCTGAAGAAACCTTGTTGTTCTCCTGGTTTTGACTGTAACAAAGACCAAAAGCACGTACCAGATCTTGCGCCTGTGTAATTTCAGGAGCTGTTATATCACCATTGGAAACTGTAGTGTGCTTTTTCTACTTCTCTGCACGTTATTTAATCCTATGCACAGTTATAAGAGACAGTTCTATGTTTTTTTAAAAGTGACAGAAAATTGATGAGCATTGAACTCCTATTCTCTCTCTCACTATACAGACTTCATTTCTTCCCACGTGAATCTGACCTCAGATAGTAGAAGTAGTGGCTAGGATTACAAGATCTAATATTATAGATCTAATAATCTATTACTACTTGAGTTCCAAGTTTTCCCATCTAGAAGTAGCTGAGACAGAATTTTTAGCATGTCAGATTAACCAGTCTGAAGAGAAGGCTGAATTACAGCTCAGTTGGCTGAACTCATTCACTGAGGAAGATGAGACTTAGTGCAAAACTTTGAACGTGTCTTGATTAAGAAAATGCTTCTACAGCTAAACAGGATTCATATAACCTTTCTGATGCTTTTAGCCCTAGCTCTCAAACCTCTTTTCTGTTAGATGATCCATTTGTTTCCTGCATGTCTGCAGATACCAAGAAATTACTTCATCTGCTGGAGAATCTTAAAATATCCTGAGCTAGTGTAGCTACATTGTTTAAAATTAAATTTCAAATTTTTTGGGAAGTGCAGTGATTTAGTTATGAGATGGTGCCAGGACTTCTACTAACACAAATGTTCTTGTTATCCATGGTTTATTTTGGTAAAAAACTGTGACAGATTTCTGTAAAAATAACATCTATTTGACTAATGGAATTCAGTGCTCCTATCATCTTAGAAATGCCTTGTTTTTATTCACTATAGACATGGGCATGGATTTCTTTTTTCACCAAATGGAATTTATTGTAATTGTGAAAAGATACGTACCTCACTAACTTAGACAATCTTTTCTTACAGGAGCAATTGTTATGGAGAGACCAAATGTCAAATGGAGTGATGTCGCTGGCCTCGAAGGTGCCAAAGAGGCACTTAAAGAAGCAGTCATCCTTCCCATTAAATTTCCACACCTGTTTACAGGTCAGGTTTAGAGCATTTATTTACTATTGGCAGTCAGGACTGGCACTGGGGCCTGTGCAGTGTGTTGTACCAATGCATCACAGACTCAAGCTGATCTCTTAACAAAAGATTTTGATCTGTCTGACAGAAGTCTCATGGGCAGATGCGGAAAACCTCCAAGCACCCTAAAGAAGCACAATCAGAAAATAGTCTTTTCAAAACTACTGGTTTCTCTCTTGCAGGAAAGAGGACACCCTGGAGGGGAATTCTCCTATTTGGACCACCAGGAACAGGAAAGTCTTATTTAGCAAAAGCTGTGGCAACAGAAGCAAACAACTCTACCTTCTTCTCAGTATCTTCATCTGACCTTGTTTCAAAATGGTTAGGTGAAAGTGAAAAGTAAGTTGGAGTTGCCAGAGATCCAGGAAATATTGTCAAGAAGAAATTTTTATAAAATTAGATAAGTTGCCATAAAGAATTTAAGAGAATGGTCTTGTCTTTTTGAAAACAAATTATAAGTGTTTCCATGCTTCATGCTACAGTGCCATGTAAAGATACCATTATATGCTGCATTTTGAGAAACTCTCTTCAGTGCTCAGAAAGATTTTGGGAGCACCACAGAGCTCATGATAACTCTTCATTTGTTACTGTGTGATGTATGAAGAAGACCAGGAAGCCAGAAGACCATGAGTGACATGTTGGCTGCAGTCTAGAAGTCCAGGAATTTGTCCATCTAGTCTTCCAAAAGAGATTTCCTGTATTAATTAAAAGCTCTGGGTTTATAGGGAAAGGATTTTCATATAATGATAAGCATACTTGTCATAACCATGATTTAATAGTTTGAAGTGTAGGACAACTGAGCAACACTATTTAAAGCTGATAGAATGAGAAAGAAAGGCTATTAGATAAAATGTTTGAAGTGAGTTATTTTTTTCCCAGAAAGCTGGAAACCTTAAGCTGCTTTTCTTCTGTTGCAAAAGGAATACAGAACTGGAGACTAGCTTGGCATTAGATTTTATGCTTGACTTCATTTGAGACTATTGCCTGAGATTTAGTGCTGTAATATGAAGAATTTCCCAGCATGTTCCTATTTATTTTTCTTTTATAAACTAGTAAAGTGTGTTCATGGGAGATGGCTAGGAGTATATGGGTGTTTGGTTTAGGTTGTTTTGTTTATTTGATTTGAAACCAGTACTTCTTGTAATACAAAAATTATTTAGTAAGTGAAGTTGTATAAAGTAAAGATACATGTTATTTCTTACAAAACCTCTAGAATTAATTTAAGTTAGAAAAGTTTAGATAAAGCTTTCTTCTTTTGAATCATTCTAAATTGGTGGTTTTGTATAGTCCAGGCTGTCATGTAGAAGTGTAAACTGAAAAAGGGCTTTATCTTGCAAAATCATGCCTGGAGCACTCTATTTATTTTTTTTATTATTATTATTCTGAGTGCTCTCATTCAGTGTAATTCTGAGTTGTGGAGCTGGAAGAATGTTGTGTCTTTGAGTAGCTTTATGCTGCTTTAATGCTTTTTTCCCCTTGCTTTCTCTAAAGGAAAATACTGTATCACAATCTGAAGTTATGTGTTTCTGCTGTTGTAATTATTAATATAGCTGAAGCTGTTTCCTTCTTTAAGATTAGTGAAAAACTTGTTCCAGCTTGCCAGAGAAAACAAACCTTCTATCATCTTCATTGATGAGATAGATTCCCTCTGTGGGTCAAGAAGTGAAAATGAAAGCGAGGCTGCTAGACGGATAAAAACAGAATTTCTAGTCCAGATGCAAGGTAAGTTTATTTGGTTTCCAAAATCAGAGAAATTAAGACATGTATTTTTAAGTGTAACTTGCATTAGAATACTGAAATTGTCTGCAGTTCCACCCCATTAAATTTTGATGGCTTTTTAAAACAATCTCTGTTTATCATCTAAACTCTGAAATTATTTCTATCCTGATACAGGGGTTGGTGTTGACAATGAAGGAATCTTGGTCTTAGGAGCAACAAACATACCCTGGGTTTTGGATTCTGCTATCAGGAGAAGGTATGATGGCACTTTTTTTATGATGTGCAGTTCACAACTGGTGTGAGTCTTCAGCCAGAGAGTGCTTAAGGTGTTCATCCAGCTCATGTTTGCAGACACCATTAAAGTTCTGCAACTCAATTCCATGAAGTAGACATAGTTAAACTGATAGTCACTTGCCCCTTTAGAGAGAGGTAGGTTGTTCAGTTCTGTAGTTTACCTGATTTCTTGGTTTGATGATTATGCTTGAAGAAACAGGAGTTTTCTGCTTGCTTTTTAGTTTTCTAGGGGACTTAGGGGACAAGATAGAAAATACACACCTCAGAAGGGCAAGAGAGGGTAAAGCTTTCCTTTTTAGCTGTGAACAAACTGGTGAGTTTCTTCATGGAAGTGCAACCTTACAAAGAAATGCCATGTTCTTCTACTGGTCAGGCATAACTTGTGATTTTTAACTGCTGTTTTGCAGATAAAGGACTTTTGCAGATACAGGATTGCCTGTACTTGATTATTTGGATTTTCTTTGAGCTGCAGAGCAAACAGAGGACAGATACAGTTATGTGACAAATAGGATTATGTTGTGATGAGGACACAGCTTGGATAATGGCCATTTTTGTTGGCTAAAGAGTAATTGATTTTTTTTGTGACTGACGCTAACTTTTATTTATATACTGAATTCAAGCTGGCCATACTTCAGTTTGATTTGGGGTTGGACCAGGTCACCTCCAGATGTCACTTCTCCTCTGCATGATTCTAGAGTTGTATGAGCCAGATTTAGAAGTGAAGGTATTGCTGAGAATTTCAAGCCATTCTTGAAATTCCACCTTTGGTTGGGATCCACAGTAAAAGACCACATGAACCTGATAGAGTGTGTTTAGAAGGGGACCTTGAAAATGATCAGGACACCTTTCTTCTGAAGGTGAGTTATAAGAGTGGGGCTGTTCAGCCTGGAGAAGAGAAGGATCCAGAGAGACCTCATTGTGGCCTTTCAGTATATAAAGGGAACTATTAGAAGAGTGGAGAGATGTTCCTTGGTTTTTTTCCCAGGCTTGTAATGCCGGGACAAGGGGGCAGTTGTTCAAACTGAAAGAGGATGGGTTTAGATTGGGCATAAGGAAGAAATTTTTATCATGAGGGTGGTGAGACACTGGCACAGGTTGTCCAGAGAAGCTGTGGATCATTGGAAGTGTTTAAGGCCAGGTTGGATGGGGTTTTGAGTAAGCTGGTCTAGGGGAGGGTCTCCCTGCCTGTGGCAGGGGGATTGGAACTAGACAGTCTTCAAGGTCTCTCTCAACCCAAACCATTTTCTCATTCTCAGCAACATGAAAGAGAAATTCCCTAGCTCTTGCCCACAAGACTTAAAAAAACTTGTACAACAGTGGCTGTACTAAAATTAATTTTTCATGGATTTCAGCCACTTTGTCATGTATATGAGGTTTATTGTGTTCAGCAGAATTTGGAATTGCTCTTACTTTGTTGGTGGGAGGTAATCTCCACTCTGAGAACAGATGCTGCTTCAAAGGAGGAACTGCTGTTACCAATATTTTCTTGAGAATTACTTCAAATTTACTTCCATTTATGGTGTTTTCTTAATTTAGTTGGAGACTGTAGAAAGTTGTTGCGTAAACTGGTTATCAGGCAGTTCTTTCTTTGAGTGTGAAATCTGTTCAAATACGCTTTAACACTTAAAGACTTCTTCCTCTCAGTTTTTTTCTTTTAAGACTCAAACTCTACTGGAAAAACGTCAGTCTGGAGAGAGGATTTTGTAATGGAAAGGAAGCAGCACTTATTCTGGATATTAGCTTGTAGTAACTAACCTATTATTTATGAGAACAGGTTGCTGAATACTAGCTTCAAAATTTTTTTTAAAAGTTTGTGGTACTGAAACTGCTTTCTAATATTGCTAGAAGCAAGCTCATTTGCATGAGCTCTTTCCATTGTGCACCTGCATGAGTTAGCATCTTGGGGACGCTTTGTTTTTGTCTTTTTTAAACCAGGTTTGAGAAGCGTATTTATATTCCTTTACCTGAAGACCATGCCAGGGCTGCAATGTTCAAACTTCACCTCGGGTCAACTCCAAATGACTTAAAAGACTCAGATTATCGAGAGCTTGGGAAGAGAACTGATGGCTATTCTGGTGCAGATATAAGCATCATTGTCCGTGATGCACTGATGCAGCCTGTTAGAAAAGTGCAATTGGCGACTCACTTTAAAAAAGTAAGTAGGAATCAAAATTTTTCAAGTTATTTCATCTACGAGAACAGTTTGAATTTGAAAATTCCTTTGGTTTTGGATAATGCTGGATGTTTATGATGTCCCTTTTATTGACTGGGGAGAAGTGTTCTTCCTTTTCCTGTACCTCTCCCTAGTCCTGCCATAGGTCTGGTGGAGCTAATTTTCATGTTCTGACTCTTAATGTCTCTAGAGAGTGTTGAAAGCATTCAGTTTGCTGTTTAAATGGCAATGTTACAGAAGTGCTTTTTTCCTATTTCAAGTTAAGTGGTTCTTAATGTGCTGGAAAAAAAAAGTATCCCTCATCCACTTGAGAACAGATGAATTGTATTTAAGTGCATTCTGTTTACTTGGCATATTTTTCAAACTGAAAAATTAAGGTTCTTGTAGAGTTCTGGAAGAAACATTGAATAAATTATAGTAGTTAAGATGCAGCACAACTGAGCAAGGTCTGTGTTTCATTTACACTGCTGTAATGTAAAAACCGGTTTACTTTTACATAGGTACAAAGAGCCAATTCAAACTACATTGTTTGGCTTATGTTCCAGTTACCTCTACATGCTATGTATTGACTTAAGTAACATCTCTTCACAATATTTAAATCTCAGAAACTATGTGCAAAAACCAACTGGCATTCTTTGCCACCAGTCTAAATCTGTTACATCTGGGAATGTCTTTCCCCTGGAGAATTTGCACAGTTTGGCCTTGTTCAGTCAAATTTATTGTTCCCTGAAAACTATTAAACTCTTAAATGGAAAAAAAAAGGAGTGATAGTATCAATGGTTATAATCAGAGTTTAAAATATATACAGTGTGTATCAGTTGAATAAAATTTTATTTTGCTGTGTAGAATATTTTTAAAGTAGACCCGGACTAAAGGTACTTGTTAATATTTTTAGTGCAAAGTTTGATATTTACAGAATGTTTTTTGGGTGAAGGTGGGTCAGGATTTTCTGCAGAGGTGCTAATTGCTGTAAAAGGAAGCTTTAATTTGTTGTTTTTTAAAAGAGCAGGTGTGGTAGGAAAAACTTCAGATCCTAAGGTGTCGAGTACCATGTATGTTGTGTTGGCAGCAGTTCTTTGTCATCTCAGTTACAATTAACAGTTTTTTTACCAGTATCTCAACCTGACATAAAAGGGTTAAGGGCCCTGAACTGAACAGCTACACTCACTTTGAAGATAGACTCTTTTTTTTTCCATGTGTTTTCTTCCAATGAATTCATTCAGCTTAAGATTTAAAGAGAAAGACACACTTAAATCCAGTATGGTCCAGAATATGAGAGGGCAGGAAATTTAATTTCTGGGGACACTCACAGTAACAATGTAGTGTAAACTGTATTTGTTGATAAATAAACAGTGACTTTGATGTATCAAGGATTTTCTAGATGGTTCCTTCCCTTAAGCAGTGATGTCTGAAGTATTTATCTGTTGTTAACTTTACATGAGAATGGCATTTCCGGCTAAAGGGCTGTTGGGTTTTAGTGTTTGGTTCAAATTTGGAACAATCTGAGGTATGTTCCAGCTCGCCATGGAGCAATGAAATAACCTCAGTTGTCACTGTTTGTGGAACAACTTCAAAAGCGCTTCTTGCATCTTAACTATTTTTGCTCAAGAAAATAAAAAATGGAAGGAAAAAACCCAAAAGTGCGATGCTTTGAATGCTCTGACATGAGCCAAGTTGATTCCACTTGTATTGTTAATGCTTTAATTGGATGTGATTTGGTGTTTTTGTAAGCAAAAATCTTAGCGTTATTATTTGCATTATAACAGACGACTTGCCTCAGTTCAGCAGAGTTTTCCTCAGTTGTCAGTAATTAACTGTAAACCTTTCCTTGCCGCATGTGATAATGCAGGTTTGCCGGAGTGCATTTTGAATATGACAATCTGCTCCCCAGCCTCTTGCTGTAAATACAGCTTGGAGCAGCAAACGCAGTAGTGTCCACAGCCAGTTAGTGTGGTGTCCTTTAGCCCCTGGGTATGCCGCGGGTTGCCGTGGGTGTGCGGGGCTGCGGGGAGCAGCGAGGGAAGGCACACGCGGGGCGGTGTGCTGCGCACCGCGAACAGATGCGCGGGCTGTGGGTCCGTCCGTCTGGCTGGGCGGGGGAGATGGTGCCGTGTTCTCCCGCTAGGGCGCGCTGCTTTCCGCGGAGCGCTGCCCAGGTGGCGCCGGGAAACTTTCTGGGACACTGGGAATGCGGGATGTCAGAGCGGAAAGCACCGGGAAGCTTTTAGAGGGCTGTTAACTAGCGATGAATGAACTCCTGGAGTGACCAGGGACCAGGAAGGGTGGTCTTCACCAAGCAGATTTCCTGCCGTGTCAGTTTTCCGCAGAAATCCTCAGCCTTGAGAGGATGTGGCTTCTGGGATTTGACCTGATGTGAATTTAAGTATCTGGCTACAGCTGCGGGTTTTCAGAGTGAATAACACCAGTACGCTTGTACAATTTCTCTTTCACAGGACATATGTTCCCAATGGGTAGGGCATCTGCATAAAATCAAGAAATGGTTTTTGCTTGGGATGCTGTTTGGCTTCTGGTTTCTGTCTTCAAAATAATAACTCCCATAAACTGAGTGTTTTCTTATTTTTAGGTAAAAGGACCATCAGTGTCTAATCCAAATACGATGGTAGATTTATTCACCCCTTGCTCTCCAGGTGATCCTGAAGCCATAGAAATGACATGGATGGAGGTCCCAGGTGATAAATTACTGGAGCCTAGAGTTTCCATGGTAGGTATTCCTTGTAGCATTTCTTTCTTATTTTACAGAACTCTGAAAAGACTTTAAGATAAAGAGTCTTTTTCAGGACAATTGGATGTTTGTTTTCAGAAATGCTGGGCATACCAGATAACATTTGAACTCTCAATACAAATCACTACAGTATGGCATGCTATGAAAAAGACAGCTGTCTATCCCTGATAAGCACTTCTTATTCTTGTCTGCTGGCATGCAGCTGCCATCCTTTCATCCATAGACAGTATCTGCCTCTTGCACTGTTCTTTCACTTGGCTTTTAGTCATTCAAAACCTTTAGGGTTCCTGCACCATGGCACTTTCTTCTCATCACTGTGGCATTAATACTGGGAAATGGAAAATTACATTCACTGTAAATTAGGAAGTGATATGCTATAGGTAAATATTGTCCTTCTATTGCCCAAATACAAGTATAAAACCAAAATGTTAAGAAGATTTTGGATATAATGGTAGTTTAGGTTTAAATTCATCATAGGTGATACAGCTCTTTCTGCTGTTTTCTTTGCACATATGAAAATACTTGCTTTGGCCTAGGGAATAAAATATGTAAGACATTTTTCAATTTGAGATCACTGTATAAGAAAAAAATAATTGCTGGACACTCATTCTGTATTTTGTATTTAAGTAAAAAGTTTGTGGGAAGCACTTAATAACAAATCTGTGTTCCTGTAGTTTCGTGTGTGCAGAGTCCTGTAAGGAATAAAAGAAATCAGTGTGATCGTGGGTTTCACAGGCAATGCTTTGAAAATAGAACCATCACTGTATTTCAGGAAAGAATTTACTGTGTGTATTTGCATACTGAGGAAGCAGAAGAGGATTTATGCAGGTGCAGGCCTGCCCTAAAACTTCTCTCTGCATGGTCTAATTGGATTTTTAATCAGTCTTTCCTGGAATTAAAGACAGCAGTTCCTTGTGTGCCCCTAATGGTAGCTCAACTCTGGTGCATTACAGGCAGATGTTTCAGTGTCCAAAATAAGTTCCTGTCTCTAAAACATAAGGCTTTAATTCTTTTTGAGCAGGGTGCCTCTGGTCTGATGAGAGAAATATCAGTTGTGGAGAACCATTATACTAAATTCTGGATTTTACCTGTAATTTTATAGCAATATGAGGTGCTGGGCATCTACTATTTTCAGTTGCCCTTGGCTGGGAATTGATTCGTTTTCTTTACCCTTTTTATTCATAGTGTATTTTAATTGCTGCTTCCAACTTCATAGGCCTATGATTTTTTTTCTAAATTTCATTTCCTAGCATCTAAATATTTATCTAGGAAATTTACTGAGTTGAAGGGACAGAAATTACCAATCAGGAGCAGTAAAACTTCGCTAGAGATGAATCACAGACTGCTGTTCTACATTGCTGGACTGTGAAGAGTACATGGGAACGTCTTATTATTTTCCACCTAATCTGCTGTAGTTAATCATGGGTTGAAAATAGTAACTGACCAAAAAAAAAGTTCAGTTCTTTTAAAAAAATAGGTGAATAAAACTTGAATGGATGAGTGGCTTAAACCTAAACCTGAGATTGTGATTTTGTTACTGGAAAACTCATTGACTGTTGTCTGTATTCAAAAGGTTAAAAGACTTCCTCTGTGCAGAAGTATTCAGGCTTAAAGTTTTGTGTTAATAGGAACTTTTTAATGTTTTTTTTAATGCATATTTGTCCTGACAGCAAAATTGCTAGCAGTGGTACTGTACTTGTTTCTGAAAACATGTTTGTTTTTTTTCTGACAGGCTGATATGCTCAGGTCGCTTGCTAGCACAAAACCAACAGTTAATGAACAGGACTTGGAGAAGTTAAAGAAGTTTACAGAAGACTTTGGTCAGGAAGGCTAAACCAAAGATATGTGTGAAGCATTAGAACCTTTTTTTGTTTTTTTTAAGTATTCTTGTGTCTTTATTGATGGCACTTCAAATAAATGCCAATAAAATTACCCCTTTCACACTTTGCAGAAGGAATAGAAGATACCTTTGCAAAGACCCTTAAGCTTTTGTATTGTATTGTTCTCCTCAGATGTCTATTAAATTAATTCTATTGAAAAGTAATACAAAAATACAATTTTTAGGTGAGACAGCAAAGTGATGTGGTAATGTCTAATAAATACTAGAAAGCTTTAAATTACTAGTTCCATATTAGGTGGTATATTAGACCTGGATACCAATGAGTTTTAGGTTTTGACCTTATCTCCCTGTAAGGTCAAAAATCTTTTTAAACGGTAGGAGAGAACATGTTTGTCAGGTGTTTTCAATATCAGTCAATCAGCATATGTATTAATTGCTCTCATTTCATTTAGGAAAATGCAACAAAATTTTCTAATCAAGCATACTGCAAGTGTGGGTTTGCTGTTAAAGTAAGAAAGAAGACACTGGAGGATAAGACTACATGGGCCAGTACTTTGATTAAATATTGATGGACCTGTTATTTGGCTTTTTTTCTGCTATGCTGTGTTAAAATTTTGCCTTAAACAGCAAGCTTTTGTTTTTAACTCTTTACTAGCTGGTACACACTGTCACTATGCAATTTAACACAAGTTTGTTAAATGCAAGTAACTCACAAGGTGTTTTGCTGGCTCTTCTTGGGGGGTTGTTTGGATTTGTTTTATTTGTTGTTTTGGTTTTTAAAATCTGGATTCTCTTCCTGGGGAAGTTTTGACTGAAGGTAGAAAAAAGCATTAGTAATGTCCTCTGAGATCCCACATGTTGCAGCTGGCAAGGTATATGTAGTCTTTGGCGAATGTCTGGGTGGTATTTTGGGAAATAGCATACTTCACATGCAAGGAGATTAGAACAGATGTTTTTGCCACGGTCTTTCCAGTGATAAATTAACCCAGAGCCCCACTGGTAACTGTAGCATATAGGTTACATCAGTTTAGTGCTTAAACTGGGAGAGAAAGCTGGCAATTTAGTATAGAAGTAGCACTTCCATTGCTCTTTTTCTGCAGAACTGCAAATGGAGATGTGCCTGAATGTAACTTAAAAACACTACAGCATCATCATTGAGTTTGTGCCTTGTAAGTTTGCACTGGCTGTAGAGATGAAACACCATTAGAATATCTAGAATCCTCTATCTTCCATTACCATTGTACAACTCTATCCTGCAAATGTTTTGTTTAACTTGCATTACGAGAAATTTGCACATTTTAGGTGTGTATGTTCTATGTACATATGCACAGCTATGATCATCTTTTGATGGGGTTTGGTTTCTTCTCTGTACATATTTTGTGTACTTTATAAATCATAGGATGGGTGGCATTTTCTTAATGTACTTAATGAAGTAAAATGTTGTAGTACAACATCAGCTATGTTATTTGAGTATTTCTTCTATGTTATGTTCAAGTTTTTACTGCTTTATTGTCTTCTTAGACTTTTGTTTCTGTGTTTAATAGCCAAACAAAATAGGTAAATATTCTGTGATCTGCAAGGTGCTGAGTTTTTTTTACTAACATGATGAAACATTTTTTCCAAAATCCTTCAGTTACACAGCTTTACTGTTGTCTTACATCAGAATGTGTAAATGTGAATCAGTGGGCTGCAGATCTTTCTGATATCTTTTGGGAGGATGGCAGGAGAGGGAGTGGGTGAGGGCGGGAATTCCAGTGTAGGTACAGGCAACTATGGTTAGTAAACTTAATCCTTAATTGCAACAAGATGTCGTCTGTAGTTTTCTTTTGTGAACACTTCCGAAGTGAGCCACATACTAGCGTGGTTGTCCTTCAGAGGTTTGAATCCACTGTCTGAAGTATTTATCTCTTGACCTTTTGAAAAATGAGAGTCCTTACTGCAATTCTGCAATCTTAAAATTCTCAGGAACGTTTTGGTTTTTGGTTTATTTTTTCCTTTTTGTGGTAAGCTGATTTGTCTTATGGGCTTCCATATGCTTAACTGTGTAATCTTGTATCTTTAATGCAAAAGAAAAATATACTGTATGTTTTAAATTTACATCTTGCTGCTTGCTCAGATAACATCTGTAACAGAACATTTACTATTTGATGTTGAAAGTTGTTTTTAGAAATATATTCCAAATAAACTTTGCTGCTTAGAATTGCAGCTACAAGGGCAACTTTTTGGTTTGCTGTCTTTGTAAAATAATGATAAATTAATATATATATATATATCACCGAGCTTCTTAGCCAAGTTATCCATAGCAGATGATAGCTTAACGAAGAAGCATGTAAAACCACTGTGTAGTTTTCAGTGTTAATTGAAAATACTCTAAATCAAAGAATTCATGAAAGACTGTATTTGCTTTGAATAATCAAAACCTCTGTAAATACTGGACAAATTAGTTGTACATTTTTAATGAGGTCTGATCTTTGGCTGGTTAGCTCACAAATTTTTTTCATACCTTCTGGTGTTACTGCTTACTCTGACTGCAATATGAAAAAATGTAATTTTCCTTCCAGTGTGTAAAACAATTTTTTCAATTAAATCACTTCTGTATATGCTTATGTCCTTCACAGATGGTTTCTTCACAGTGACATTAAGTTTTTGATTTCCTACCATTTGTGGTCTGTGTCTTGATGTACATACTTACAGGGTTAGAATAGCTCAGTAAATCAACTTACATGTTTTCCTACATTCCCTGAATAACATCAAGTTCCAGAGTCGTTTGATTTATGTGTTGCTTTTTTGTTCTTGTCTAGCATAACAAAAGCATACAAATCTTTTCAGTCTTCCATAAATCTATTAAGTTTTTCATTTGGTTTGGTTTTTCAAGTCTGCTGGTCTTTGAATATACTCATAAGCTTTTGTTTTAACTAGTGGAGAAGAACAAATGTAGCTGAGGGAGACACTCTGGAACTGTTTTTTCTCATGTTCCTGCCTGTCAGAATTTGCTCTTTTTGTCAACTGAAGCAAAGAGACTGTTGAATATTCTCTGGTCAGGTGTTTTGATCTACTTTTTATTTAGTGTTCTTAATAAGAATATTCCACATTTTTTGTTGTTCTTAGGACTATCTTGACAGGAAGCTATTTAATAGTTCTGAATATGTTGAAATAGCAGGAACATCTGCATTTTGCTGTTTACTCTTCCTTCCTCCAGAATGACAAGCTTGTTTCAGGATTGGCTTCCATACATGTTTTTGGTCTTAACCAGATTCACCCTAGTAATCATGGTTGACTTAAAGCCATTCCTGTAACTTACGTAAACTATTGCAAGAGCTCAGTGGACTGTTTGTTTCATACTGTGCTGCTATTCCAACAGATAATTAATTCTTATCAAAACATTGTTCCTTTTATTCTCGAGCAGTCAGCTTTTGTTGTAGCTCTTGTGGTGTAGCTTCAGTGCTTCCCCCTTCAATTTTTCTTCAGCTTTTTGTTAACATACTAGTCATGGGATTTTATTCCACAAATCCTCTGTCATCATAATTAGCTGTGTAAAAACTCTTTTAATTGGTCGTTCATCCTTTGTCCTGGCATTTGTGTAGTGACAGCCCAGGTATTAGATAAGATTGTCCTGTTTTTATCTTTTGGTCCCTGTGACCTAATTAGAATCTTTCCTCTCCCTCCCTACTTCCACATGCACACACACCCTTCTGATGGGAGCTTTTCGATTAGGTTGCTGGTTTGTGACATTTTCTGTTTACTCGCCCTTGCAGCCTTCCTACCTGAGAGGCTCCAACTTGATGAATAAACAAAGATACTTCTTGCCCTTGTCATGTCCTGAGTTCAGGAACACTGGATTTCCATCTATCTGTGCCACCTGTGTATGCTACCTGCCACATGTGCAATCTGCTAGTCTTTTGCAGAAATACTTGACATTTTTGGGCTCATTCAGCTGAACTTCTCAACCATTAGTCATGAAAACACAATAGAATGTCCTATCTGCATCATAGCAGGAGCTAGGTTCCCCTCTAAATAGGCTTTGGTTGTGTTTTGAGACATCTCCAGGAAATAAGTCACTGACACCTGACACAGGCCTGATGTTGATAATGCAGCCAGAGTCTTCTTTCCTGCTTGGTGACCTATTATCAAGCACTGTAACATGAATTGGCAGGACTTGCTTTTGCTTGCCCTCGCTCCTCCTCTGCTGCCTCAACTCATTTAAATCCAAGCTATTCAAGACAGGGACTTTGCTTTTAAACATGCTCAGTGTCACATGCATTCTGTCAACTATAAACAGTAATTTACTCTGACTCACTCTGTTGTTGGTCTGATGACCATCCACAGGTAATTTGTTACAAAAATCTCAGCTGGAGTAGTTGCCTTCTGCTGCTTCTCTATCCATGTCTCAGCAATAGCGAGTCAGCTAGGCAAGGGGCTAGGAAGGTGGCTGTAAATATCATCATCTCATTCAGGAAATACAGCAGCAAATGGGGACTGTTATTTGCAGCTGCGACTTAGGCTCTGGCAGAGCCAGGTGAATTGTTTGCCCAGTAGAAAGTTAGGAAAATATTAAACCATATGAATGCAAATTATGATTTCTTCCTCTCTTCCTTGAAGGCTAGAGCATGGGCTCTAGCAGGGAGGCTCTGACCTATTAAGACTTCTGCTTTATGCAAGATTTTTGAAAATATGGAAAAATCAGCTGATTACTGTTTTAAAATGTCCCATTTAAGTTGCCAGTTAAAATACTTGTGCTGTTGCCTGACTGAGAATGAGCTCACTTGAAGCTTTAATGATGTTTAATTAATTAATCACAGCTATTAGTACAACTGAACAGCAAAGAATTTATTACTGTTTTAATCTTTATACCTGCTCTTGTTTTGCTGTGGGCTGGTATGTTTGTGTCCTGCCTTGCCCTGTCACTATAATTTTAAAATGTTTTCTTTTTTGTTGTTGTTGTTCTTACCTGCTCAAAAAGCTCATGCCCACCATGCATGTGTCCCCTTTCAGTGTGGGAGCAAACAGGGCACTGTGCCTGCCTGACAGCAAAGCTGGTTCAGCTGCAGCATAGCCAAAGTTCACACAGGAGCCAAAGCACCTGCTGACAGAGCCTAAACCTTTCTGCCCACCCTTCATCTTCACTGCCCCTTCACCAGCTTCAAGACAGAAGGGGTGCCCCTATAAGGACACTGCCGTGGCTCAAACTCACACACAGGGCACACCTGCACACCCATACATAGGAACACTGGTGACAGACACGTCACAAACACACAGTCCTGTGTGACCACCCACCCAATGCACACCAGGGAGGTGCTGCAAATTTACTTCCATTCAGCACCTGGAGGTTCCTGTCCATCCCACGTTTAGATAGGCTCAGTCCAGCTAGGAACAAATGTGCTGGAGTTTCTGGGGTTTCTGTGGGGCAGTGGGACACAGTGGTGTTGTTTGTCCTGGGCAGCCTGAGGCTCTACATGGGGTAAATGAATCCATAGAAGCACGTGTAGGGTTTGTGCTTCAGATCCCCTGGAGTTGGCACAGGCTGGAAGCTGACTGGTGAACAAGGGCAGCGATGCTGCTACTCAGGGCTCCTGTGGGGTTTTGTCCTAGTTGTCAGCTGTGTAAAATGGTTTTCACAAGCTTTGAGGCTATTTGGCTTATTCTCTTGGGCCTTCTTTTGTGTAAAGTGTGCTTGCGTCACTGCAGTATATACTGGAAATGCATGATGCTTCTTACAGGAAGAAAAAGGTTTTGATGAGAATTTTCCTTTGATGTGAATGTTAATTGGCAATTTTTGCCTGCCTCTTTCCTGTTGCTTTTGACTAATTTTCTGAAGTTTTTGCCTTTTTTTTTTTTAATTTCGGTTTCTTTCTTTTTTTGACTTACTCTCTGTCCTTCACACCATTTTTTTCCTTTCTCAAAAAGAAGATAAAGCACTGATTTCTTTTTAAATCCTATTTCAAAGCTCTTTATGTTCCAATATTTCTCCAGTGTTTATAGCAAAGCAAGTTTATATCCAACAAAGCAAAGCTGACAGAGTGTCTCTGATTTCTGTTTTTCCCTTCAAAGCGACAGGTCCATCTGTACATGCTGTCCTTTTCCAGGCTGACAGCAGGAAGGCAATGGGCTGTGCTGTTGTTGGAGGGCAGAGATGAACTTGGAGGTGCACAAGCAACTCTAATGTACTTGGTAGCAGTGCAAGGGGGAGGAATGGCTGAATTGTTTGTATTCAGCAACCTGTTTTGTACCTATTTCTTGGGTTAGAGGGGGGAAACAAAGTTATGTATAAGGCATCTTCTAGATTTCCATTGTGTAGCAGCAGCTTCTCTGCAGTGCAATGCAAAGATAACTTAGCAGGGACTGATGGCAAGGGCAGAGGTTGCGTAATTTCATTTAAAGGAATAAACATCAGCCTCTTGCCAGTGCTGTCAATACCCTGTGTGTTACCTGGAATGGAAACAGACTTAATTCACGTTAAAAGATTGTGCAAACAAAGTTGTCTGAATTACTTTGACAGAGAACCTGGCATGAACCTGGAGGACGTAATTTCAGTTCTTCTGGTATTTTTAAGAGTGCAGCTATAAAGTGAAGAGCAATGGGAGAGTAGGATGCTGTCCCACACAGCAATGTGGGGTAGGGCAAGCAGCTCCAGAAACAAGAGTTGTCAGTGAGAGGCACAAAGAAGACCTGGGGAGCAATGTGGTGGTTTGCAAGAATAGCAACTACCCAAGATCACCTACAAAAGGTAAGTTTTTGAGAAAACCAGAGGCCCACCAAGACTACAAGTCATTAATTTGGCCTTTTGTAACAAAATCGAGTCTCATCAACACGAGTTTAATAGACATGGCTTAACTGGGGTGGTATAACTGGTAGCTTCGTTTTGAAGCAGAGAAGACTCACAAACGTGTAGGAGCTGTCAATCTTTAAAGATTATGTAGAGGTGTTTCCAAAAGCACAATACAAAGCAGAAAATTATTCCTATTTTTGAAAATCACATTAGCTAGCAGCTTGGGTGGAGCAACTTAATCACCAAATTGCTGAGTATATATAGGCGAGAAGTTGCTGCAAGTTTTACTACAAAAGTGTTCCCTATCTGGCTAAAAAGTGAAAGCATTCATGAAAATACATATCCAGGAAAATAATGATGACAGTAATAGGTAAAGACTGTGTCTGAGGGAATGCAAAACATTACACAAATATTGAGCAAGCAATGCAGTGGCTTCATTGGTAATTCCTAAG